ATAACATTACAGAGTATGGGCCCAGAATAAGGCCCACAACAGAGAGAAACATAACATAACATGAAATGACAGTCTATGGGCCATTCGGCCCATCTTCTCTACACCAACATTTGGAGCCCTGGAACAAACGCAAACTGATTTTGGAATTCAAGAATTTTTTTCAGTTAAGGAAAGAAGCAAAGAGGCCATTGTAGAAACCATTATAATTCAAGTGGTTCATTGGGTGAAGCCTTTGGAGCTATTTGCCGATTTCCCAATAGGTGACATTATGAAAAATTGGAAGGAAGTGGCTTGATCAGACCGTAACAAGATCATTGCAAGCACCCTTTGGTCTCCACCAACCAATGACTACACCAAACTAAACTTTGATGGGAGTAGTGCAGGTCACCCAAGTCCTTCTGGTATTGGAGGTGTTATTAGAAATGGTGAAAGCAGAATTATTGGTTTATTCTCAAGTCCAATCGGTGTAGGTGACTCATTAAGGGCTGAGACTATGGTTGTTATGGAGGGAGTGCAAAAGGCAAAGAATATGAATTTAAGTAAGCAGATTATAGAAGGTGATTCAAAGCTGGTAATAGAATGGCTGCAAATGGAAGAAAATGGTTTCTGGATTTTCAGTTATGAACGGAAGAAATTCAAGTAGCTAACACAAAATATGGATGTGATACTTAGTTTGGTTAAAAGAACTTCTAATGCCTTTGCTGATGTTCTGGCAAAACAAGGGATGGGAAGAAGTCAATTGTATATAAAATAAAAAAAAAAAAAACTTCTAATGCCCTCCTCTTCTTGTATTTTTCTTCCTCTTTAATCATTAATGAAATTTGCTGTTATTGACCCAAAAAAAATAGTTACTTTATAAAATTAAAAGGTATGTAATATAAATATAAAAAGCATAAGAGAGAAAAATAAAACATCCCACAATCTCAGACCCAAAAGAGGCCTAAAAGCATCAGATCTTGATATAGATCAAAAACTAGAGAGAAGGTTAACTTCTCAACATACACAACAGTGTTTTAAAAGGTGTGGGAGGTGTACGCCTAGAAGTGCACCTCCAAGCGAGGTGCCCCCAAAACGCCCTAAGGTGTATGCCAGAGGCACTGACACCTCTAAGGCATACGCCTCAGGTGTAAGAGGTGTAAGAGTTGTATGCCTCATACGTTTTTTCCATGAGGCATGCTAGAGGCATACACCTCATGCAAACCTCATGTAAAAAGACAAAAAAAAGAAAAAAAAAAGAAAGAAAGAAAGAGAAAAAAAAGGAAAGGAATGGAAAAGAAAAGAAAGTGAAGGGGAAGAAAAAGAAAGAAAGAAAAGAAAAAAAAAGAGAGAGAGAGAGAGAGAAAAAGAAAGAAAAGAAAAGGAAGGGAAGGGAAGGGAAGATAAGGGGAAAGAAAGTGGGCATCTTCTTTCAACTAGTGCTATGCATCTTCATTTTTCTTAATATAAAAGATTTTTATTAACAATAAAGAAAAATGAGATTTTCCTTCCTCCTTCCTCCTCATCCCCCCTCCTCTTCAAGGTTCAAAGTATCGGAAACGCCAAGTGTATTGGAAAGGCAATTTTAAGAGGCGTATCGGGATACACCTTGGATACGCATGTGTATGGGAGAAAAACTACGATATGCATAGATACACTTGGAAACACTATATATACTTTAATAAATCATAAAAATACATCAACAACAATAAATATAAGACCTCAATGAGGTGTATATACAGTAAATTAATATATTTTAATGGTTTTATGAAGAAATATATTGTAGCTAATTATAACTTCATTAAAAATCCTATGCTTAACTATAATTTATAAATTATAATTCTTAAGTTTCAATGTTTTATGGGAAGGGAAAAACCCAACTCTCCTATTCAACCATAAAACATGCATTGACACAACTTCTATGTGAAAATATAATTAATGGTTATTTATTATTTAAATAATTATTATTTATTATTCCAAAAATTATAAAAAATAAATAAACATTATATAATATATTCAAAAATAGTTATTAAAGAAGAAATTTCAATTGCTTTGTGGATATGATAGATCATCCATAGAATTATAATATATTCAATCATTGTGACCAAATAATAAAATATAATTAATTATTTAATTATTTTTTAATTCTAAAATATAAAAATAAAAAAAATAATTATTAAAGAAGAAATTTCAATTGGTTTGTGGATATGATAGATCATCCATAGAATTATAATATATTCAATTGCAGTGATCAAATGATAAAATATAATTTTTTATTTTTTATTTTTTAATCTACTGATAACACAAAAAAAATTATGATTTTGAATATATGAAATGCAGATCAACATAAATTTAAACATCCAAGAAAAAAAAGAAATCACAAGAAATTATAAAAAATTGAAAAAATTTAACTATTTTTGCCATATTTTTTAAAATTTTGAAAAATCATTAAAAAAAAATTAACGATTCACACTTGTTTTTTGCAAAATTTTGCAAATCTAGCACTCTAGGAATGAAGTCAAGAGTTTTAGAGTCATTTGGGGGTGAAAGAAAGCTTATTTCGGGGAAAAGAAGCTTGTTTTCCCTCTTTATTTTTTTTTAGTTTTTGGTCGTATCTTTTTCGTCGATACGCCCCGGTACACCCCCGACACAGATTCAATATGCATGAAAAAAGATGAAACAACTGATTTTCATGCGTATCCCGTATCTATTTTTCAAAGATACAACATGATACACCCTGTATCGGGCGTATCGTATCGAAAATTTTAAACCTTGTTCCTCTTAAGGGAGGCTTGTATGCGGGAGGCTTACGCTTCTTACATTCTGAACTACGCCTCATGCCTCTAGGTAATGGAACACCTTGCATCAGACCTCCGCATTTTAAAACATCGATACACAGACATACACAATCTTTTTTTTATTGAATACCTTCATAATTTTATTGATTACAGAGAAAATAATAAGTTATACACAGGCAATGTTTTAAAATGTGGAGGCTTGACGCAAGGCGTTCCACTACCAAGAGGTGTGAGGCGTAGTTCAAAACGCAAGAGGCGTAAGCCTCCAGAACACAAGGAGGCATAAAACTCCTTAAGAGGAGGGGGTAAGGAGGAAGGAGGAAGGGAAAGAGGATGAAGAGGAAGGGGGATCTCATTTTTTCTTTATTTTTAATAAAAATCTTTTATATTAAGAAGAATAAAGATGCATAACATTAGTTGAAAGGGNTCAAAGCGGAGGCAAGCGAGCGAACCACGCTCGCCGGAGCGAGCTGGGGACAAACCACTTTCTTTCCCCTAAACTTTTCTTCCCTTCCCTTTCCTTTTCTTTTATTTCCTTTTCTCTTTTTTTTCTTCACTTTCTTTTTCTTTCCCTTCCCTTTCTTTTCCTTTCCTTTTTTCTCTTTTTTTCTTTCTTGTTCTGTCTTTTTATATAAGATGTGCATGAGGCGCATGAGGCATATGCCTCTAGCACGCCTCATGAAAAAAGTGCATGAGGCGTATGCCTCTTGCACCTGAGGCATATGCCTCAGAGGTGTCAACGCCTCTGGCATACGCCTCAGGGCATTTTGGCAGTGCCTCCAGCGCCTCCAAGTGTACGCCTCCCACGCCTTTTAAAACAGTGTATACAGGCAAACTTAGCATCCTAAGATTTTAAGTTAGGCTGCAACTGCCATCTAACCAATTTCCTTGTTGATTACATTCATTCTACATACAATTGACCCCAAAACAACTGAGCCCCATTCACCCCCTTTTCTAATGCATCAGCCAAACTACTTGCTGATCTTTGAACTCAAGAAAAAGTGCTTCCTAATTCCCTCGGAAAATGTCTAATCTCCATCATAAAGTGTCAAACTGTCAATATTGCCATAGTTCCTGTTATTTTTTTAACCAACCCACAAGTCCATAACCACCCAAGAATCCCCTTCCACACCTGCATATTTCTATAATTAATGACCAATATAAACGTTTGACAAGTAGATATGATCGAGTGCCATAATTTTCCCATGAGATTTTACCACCGGAGCGTTTCTTCTTCAATAATGATAAGCACCCATAACTTGATCCACCAGATTGGCAATTCAATAAATCTGGAAAATATCCATCCAATCCTTTCGCAACATTAGTTTGAACTTTTCCCCGACCACGCTTTTGAGGCTTTCGAGATATTTCTGATGCATCATTGCTTTCTCGTTCACTATCACTCCCTTCCTGTGAATTCACAATGAAATTGTTTTTAGATTCAGGCTAATCTATCCTGACAAGCAAACAGAATGTCCATAATGTATATAAATGATTGGTTTGGCCATAGAGTACAGATTCTATAACCTAATGGATTAACCTATATCAATCCCAGTCAAAAAGTATAGAAATATAACCATTAGTCTCAGTTTTTAGATTGCTAAAGTAACTATTACAAATTTTATTTGTACTCCTGGTAGAAATTGTTATATAAAAGCAGAAATTTTATTTCAAACAAAAAAAAAATCAAATGTTTTTGAAACTTAATATATTTAATTAACAGCACTAGTAAAATTTTTTTATCAATAACAGCACTAGTAAAATAAAAAGTAAAAAAGTTCACTTGGAAAATAAAGATAGACCTGAGTTTTATTCAGGGGAAATTAATTAACTTCTAATTTTGATTTTTCGTCAGCAACAATAACTTTATTAGTTATAACAGTTTGTATGCGACGAATACAGAAACAGGAACATAGACAAACCTCCAATCATGTAGCAGACCTGTTACATCTCTAACAACTTGGGAAAAAAAAGAAAGAAAAGAAAAAATAGATGCAATCAACAACTACCCCTTTACACAAATCCTATCTCAGCAAGAAAGGAGTCAAGTAAAGATCACTACCCAATAGTACATTCCTGACAAATGGCAATCAAGCCAGCCATCTAGTTTGCAGATCTCAGAACAAAAACAAGTGGCAGATACAATCTATAACTCAAGGTCTTCCCTCTCTGATCTAATAGCATGACATTCAAGGACCAATCAACAAGGCAATCAACCAATATATTTCAATTTGAGAGTCTGACTGAAGATGAGTCCCTCAACACCCATGAACAGGCATGAGCCCTTGAACTAGGAACAGCAGCTCAAACCCCCTAAATTCACCCATTCAGCTACAGGCCTAGAGTATGAAAGGGAGATGTCACCAATCACCATTATATCTCTGAGGCTCCACCAATTTCTAAAGGTTCAGGGTTGTGCAATACAATTATGTCAAAGAGCATGGTCTTTCTGTTCTTCATTATTGTACTTGGTGAAAGAACAAACCAATTAGAATCACTAGTAATAGATAATAGAGAGGCAATATTTTTTAGCATTCAACCAACATGCATATAATAAAAACTATAAAGGAAAATAAAAAATAACAAAATGAAAAGGCACCATTTATAACCCACCAAAACATTGTAGTGATCGGTCATCATTGCTATCAGTCCAACCACAGATGCCATTCCTTCTGGAAGGGATAAGTATGCCTGAAAGTGACAGCACATGTTCTAAATAAGTGAAATGTATAACCAAAAGCCAAGGTAAATAAATATCTTATTTTGCTAGTCCATTTGGTTTGACTTAGAAATATGTAGAATAGCACATAAAGAATATAGGCAGCGACTTAGAGACGCCAAAATCCTGGTCTATTTGGTGTAGTTCCTAGAGATGCTTTTCTTATTTGCTTCGCATGCTTGGATTATTGAGTACTTTGAATATGTTTTATATGCTATCTTTGATTTTATTTTTGCATCTTCACTTTGAATATGTTTTATATGTAATGTTTATGTATTTTAATTTGAACTAATAGGCTTTATATAACATTTAGTTAAAATTAAAGTTTGCATTTTTAATATTTTTACATATTCTGATTTTTTTAAATTTCTAAAAATTTTGCGCATTACTTCAAAAAGGCACACACCTTGCTTTGTGCACACGCCTTGGGTGCAAAAAGCCCTTTGTGCATTAATTGTGCCTTGCGCTTTTAAAACACTAATGCATCTGAGATCTTGATGCAAGATCTTTGTGATTCAGCACTATTCTTGCAAATAAACTCAAGTTTAAATGTGTAGCATAGAAACAAATAGCTAACAAAAGAAAGAAGAGAAGAGAAGAGATGGAAATAAGATGAAAACCCTAGGTAATCACACCTAAGGGTGAGGGCAATCACACCCCCAACTTGCCAACCACACCAAATTCTGTAGAGAAGCTTTCTTTGTTCATTAACCAAAAACTGTTTCCCAAATTAGCCTTGCAAGCTTACTAAGAAAGACACTTCCAAATGAGCATCCTAAGGTCAACTAAAGATTCTAGGATCTTCTCAAGTTGATCCACTGCTGACCCATATCCCATGTGGGCCCCATGTTAAGTTGATTTCCATCAGGTCTTATGTGATAGGCAAATTCCACTTAGATTTGAATGAAAAATCCATTACAAAATTATAAGGCAGCTATGATGTATGGATACGAGTATTGGCCAGTCGAGAAACATGTCCAAAAAATGAATGTGGCAGCCATGCATATACCAAGATGGATGAGTGGAAAAACTAGAAAGAACAGGATCAAAAACGAAGTCAATTGAAGGAACCTAGGAATAGCTCCAATAGGTGATAAAATGAGAGAAAGTAGCCTAAGATAGTTTGCTTATATGCATAGAAGGCCACCTACAGCACCCAAAAAAAGAAGCTTTTTTTCGAAGATAAAATAGAAATTTTTATTAAAAAAAAAAAAGAGATACAAGAGGAATGTGTAAGTCCCAAAATGAGGATTGTTACCATCTACTAATATCTTGCTCCTTAGTTGTAGCTTTATGGTGTTGGGAGCTTTAGTTTATTTGGATGTAGGCGGAACCTGCCGTCTAATGTACGTATGTTGTTTAATCCATCTACTCTTGGGTGGCACATGAGAAGAGGTAAAATTATGTGGAAATGTATTAGGGCAGCTATCTTATGGACTGTTTAGGAAGAAAGGAATGCTAGAATCTTCCTAAAGAAGGAAAGAAGTTTTGCTGAAGTGAAGGATTGTATCTTAACAAGAACAATCCATTGGCTAAAGTCCTGAAGACCTTGATCTTGTTTGCTGAATTCTCCTGTGATAATCTTTGGAGAAATTGGTTAGCAATGGCTAATACCTCCACTAGGAAGAATAGAAGTGTGGTAGAGTGGAAACCTCCTCTAGAAGGTGTCATTAAATTGAGCTTCGATGGTAGCAGCCAAGGTAACCCTGGGCCTTCAGGTGTAGGAGGTGTGCTAAGGAATAAGGACAGCAACATTATTTCCTTATTTTCAGGATCAGTGGGAGTGGGAGACTCTACAAGGGCAAAGATACTAGCTGTTGTACAAGGGATCCAGATTGCTAACCAGCTTGAGGTGGAACATCTTCTAATTGAAGGGGATTCTCAGGAGGTAGTAGGGTGGCTATCAAACCCAGACGCTGCCATTTGGGGTTATAGAAAACTCCTCAAAAAAGTGAAGTGGCTAACTAGCAATATGCAAGTTGATGTTAAATGGGTAAGCAGGTCAACAAATACTGTGGCTGATTCCTTGGCCAAACAGGGGTATCCAGGGAAGGTCTTTTTTGGGCTACTTTGTAATTTGCTCTAGTGATTTTGAAAAGCTGTAAATGACTATTCTGGAGAGGTCGCATCTCGTGCCTCCCCTTGGGATGCTTGTATCTCTTATCTTTGGCAATTAATAAAATTCATTCAATTATCAAAAAAAAAAGAGATACAAGAGGGATAAAAGAGACGATGAGAAATAGTTTAGGCTCTCCTGCTCTTCCTTGAATCCTTCCACAAATAGTTTAGGCTTCCTATCTGAGAACCAGACTGACTCGACAATGTCTGTACCGCTCGCCTTTTCTTGAACCCCTGCAACAGCATAACTATTAACGACCTCTTTTTTCTTATCCACCATACTCTTCACTTTATCTTAGCATCCCCTTCAGGTCTCTCAATTAATTTACTCAGATCACCTATTACGACCAGGAAATGTTGAAAAGCTTCCACTATCTGTTTTCAGCCCAAGCTCTGTTTACCTTCAGGGATACAGACCAACCTTCTCTTCCCAGGGTTGAATAACTCGGTCAATTGCACATAATCACCACATCTGTGCTCCAAAATTTCCGTCCAATAAGTGGTATCACCTCCCCTGTAAGAAACTCTCCAGCTTACCGTCCTCTGTGAATGGATGGCTCCTTCGATGAAACCCTTGAACCACAGCATGACTTTCCCTTTAAGGAATACAGTCGCCTTCCAGTGTTCAATGAATTTCAATACAATCCCTCATCTAGTTTTACCTCTTCTAAGACAAAAGTTTTGGCCTCAACTCTGAGTTTCTTTCTCCAGACATTTGCACGAACAAAGTTCCTCTCAGTGTCCATTCCTCCTCAGCCTCTACAGTTCTTTTCACTAGATCTGTTGGGCTATTCCGTCCCTTCTTTCTCAAAGACAAAAAGAACTTCTGCAACTTATTACAGAAGTTCTTGACTTCTTGCCCACAATATTTTAAGAAGAAGCAATCTATTACCAGTTGAAGGGGCTAGAAGGGCTAGGAGCAGACCAAAGAAGACATGGGTCAAAGCAGTAAGAAATGATTTAAGTGATCATAATTTAACAATGGATATGGCATTAAACAGAACAAAACATCAAAACAGGATTCATGAAGCCAATCCCATATAGTTGGGATAAGGATTAGATGATCATCAACTACAGGGATTGATTTTTTAGGTCATATTTTCTTATAAAAAAAAGTGCGTTTTTATTACTCATAGAAATATTGCCTTTTAGTTTTCTTTTCCATTAAGAACTCTAGGGTAAATTTGAATTAGTTGAGTTGAGTTGAGTTCTATTTAAGTTGTCATAGTTCTATTTAAGTTTTGTACTTCGGGTGTTTTCATTTCATTCAGGTGATTGCTCATCACCTTTCCTTGTATCCTTTTTTTCTTGTTTTAATAAAATTTTTATTTATCTTCAAAAAAAATAACTAGGCAACAAGGTGCCCTTGGAAGGTCACCTTAACGAAGCACTTGCATGCTTTATACATGTTAATGTCGACTATGTAGGGGTATTTTTGTCTTTATGCTTATGTTTAAGCTACTGATGTGTAAGGTTATGTTAGATCTTATGTCCCTCACTTAAGTGGGGGCACATGTGTCATTTCCAGATTAATAGTAATATAAAAACAAATCTGGCCGAATGGGAGAGAGAACTTTTCTCTCTTGTTCGAACCAGAACTTTCTATCCTTCTCTTCTCTTCTCTTCTTCTTCTTCTCTCTCTTTCTCTCTTTCTTTTACTTCTACTGTTATCAGTCTAACAGGTTTCAAGGGCAGGCCGAATCCTAATATGGTATCCGAGCCAAACTGAGCAAATCGAAACTGCCCAGAATTCTGTTCTTTGCGCACCCAATCTAGGGTTTTCTTTTGTTTTCTTCGCCATCAGTTGGAGATAAGGGAGGGGCTGAAAAGGAGTGATCGCCCTCTTCCCTTGGAGGTTTCTATGCCTCTAGTTGTGCTGTTCGTGGTTGGTTGCTGTGGTTTGTAAGAAGCCCTCCCCTAATCGATGAAGAGAAGAGGGCTGATTCGTGTGGTGCAGTGGGTGCCTTGTGTGGTCTGATTTTCGGGTGATTAGGTAAGAGGTTTCTATGCAATTTCTTGTTGTGAATCAAATGATAAGTGTGTTTCAGATTGTATGGTGGAAATTCATATTGTAGTGTGTTAGGGTTTATGCAAATTTCAGTGTGATTCGAAGAGGGAGTGATCCTCAAACAGTGTAGTGAGCTTTCAGGTAGTCGTGGGGTAGGGTTGTGGTGTAGAGAGTGCAGTTTTCAGCAATAATAAGTGCTGAAAACAGTGTGGTTCAGTGTCTAGTATGGTTTAGTGTGTAGTGTGCCGAATTCAGCAATGGGAGACAACAGTGACAGTAAGACTAGTGTGATGGTCCCTACTGACTACCTGAATTTTTTTTTTTTTTTATAATTTACTGACTACCTGAATGTTCAGATGACCTCTATTAAACTGAAAGGAGAAAATTATGTACCTTGGGCTAAATCTGTAGAAGTCTTTCTTAAGGCAAAGAAGAAAGTGAAACACATAAGGGAAGAAAGACCTTCCACTGATTCTCATGAGTATGATGACTGGGAACAACAAGATGCACAGATTATCACATGGTTATGGAATAGTATGGAACCCAAGATTAGTGTGAATTTCATGTTTCTTGATACTGCCAAGAAAGTGTGGGACCATGCTAAGAAGTTGTATTCGGGTCAAGACAACACAACTAGAGTATATCAGCTGTATCAAGAATACTTTAATCTGCAACAGGGTAATCAGAGTCTTGAGGAGTACTATGCTAGTATGAGAAACATTCGTAATGAGTTGAATGTTTATCACCCCCTCACTTCTGATGTCAAAGTTCAGCAACAACAGAGAGAACAACAAGATGTGACTCGAGTTTTGGTGGGGCTGAAGTATGAACCAATGCAGGCTTAGA